GGGGGCCGGAGGGTTGAGGGTGGTAGTTCCCACAGGAGGAGAATGGTCAGTTCTAGAAAGGAGAAAAAAATGAAAGAAAAGGACAAGAAGATGAGGAGGGGGGCGGTGCATGAGGCCACAAGGGCAAGGGTGAGGGGGTGGGGGGTGACAGTGTCAAAACCAAGAGAGAGAAAGAGAGTGTGCATGTGTGTATATGTGTGTTGCAAAGTGAGAGCGAGGGAAAAAGACAGGATCATATCAATCATAACGTTTCAGAGGGAACCAGCGGTAAACGAGTCTAGGCACCTCTCGGCTTGTTTTTCCTCCAACCCACCCCCCTCTGCTGTTCTCATTCTTTTAGGAACCCCCCTCCTCTCCACCTCCCCCTTTTCTCCCCTCTCTCCCTCTCTTTGTGTGTCTGTCTGGACAGCTGCCCAGTTCCATACATAGGGAGGAAAAAAAAAATGAAACGCTCTAACCGCTGGGCGTGCTGCCAAATAAAAGGCTGCCAAAAACTATTTGAAGGGCAGCGTGTTTGTGTGCGTCTGGGCATGGAGTTTTGTGTACATGCATGCTCTGGGTTCTACGTGTGCATGTGTGTGGCGGTTTGGGAGCTTTGGGTGTGCCTGTTTAGGGTGTTCTTTCCCTGCAGGATAGTGCAGTCAGGGTGTTCAGTCGCTGTGTTTGCAAAAGGAAGACGCTCGACTCAACCCCCTTCCCTTTGAAGAAGCTAGAAAAAGAACAGTACTGTAAGTCCAGACTTCGATTTCTGAGTGTGACACGTTCAGACACACACTCCCACATATTTGTCAGTACATTTATGCTGACTCATTTGAAAAAGGTGCCTTTCAGTTGTGTGTTTGCAGCACTTAGTCACATATTATCCATGACCTCCTCTGCGGCTGCGTTCTGACCTTATCTCATGGTTATATCACTGCTAGACAGGAATGTGGAGCTTCACATCCACGTGCATTTAGGTGTTGGATCTGTGTGTGGCTGAATCCAACAGTGTTAAAGCCAGAAGTAGTTGTTCAGCTATTGTGACATAGCCAAGCACTCACAGGAACGAGAGTGCACTAGTTAAGTTAAGGACCAAACGTGCAACGGATCTGTATCCTTATCTTTTTCACCTGGTTGTGACTCGTAGATGAAGGACGTGTGGGAAAGGTTGAAGTCTCACAAGCAGCATAAAGGTCAGAGTCCATGCTTGTGCTGATTTCCTAATTTCCTGAACTCTGCCCCCTGCTGCAGCTGCACAGTAACACACAGAGAGGATGATGGCCTTTTCACACAGAGCAAGGCAGAAGGGACAATGCATGAACAACAAAATATATTTCTTTTTTTGCTGCACAGCTATGCTTTTCTTAAGAGCTGATGAAACCCTGCAGGGTTAGGAATGCTAAAAAAAACAAAAAAACTCCACTGCATAAAAATTAAAAGTAAGTGAAGAAAAATATTAAGTGAGTATTAAAAGTGAGCTTGTCAGTTTGTGTGAGCAGCCAGTAATGGTAAAGATAAGGGCAGTGTAGATTTTCTTTTTAGCACTTTGTTGACGAAAACACTGATACAAGTACCTTCAGTTCTAATGATGACCACTATTTACATTTGCTTGTGTGAATATGAGACAGTGCATGCATTTTCCCTGGAAATGCCTCATGGAGGTAGCCGTAGAGGAGGGGTGGTGAAGGAGAGGGAGGTAGCAGAGAGGAAACTAAGAACAAAAAGCTGAAATGGTGCCAACATAACCCAGCCACAAACGGAAAAGGGAGGAGGGGAGAGGTGAGGGTTATTTCTAATATTTTTTCCCTTTCTTTTCTCTTTTGCTCTTTTATCTGTCAGGGAAAGGTGTTGGTGCCTCCTCTTATTATCTCTATGTGGTTGCATTGTGGTCTGGGGGAGGATGTATTTAATGTGTGTTTCTGTGTGTCTGTCTCACTTTAAAACTCCCACCCCCCTCTCATCTCCTCGTCTGTCTTCTGTGCCCTCCTTTAACCTGAAACAGCAGGTATTCTAGGACAGGTTAAATGAGAAACCAAGTGGGTTTCGGGTGTCTGTCATCTTATTCCTCTTTGGACTAACCGAGGCTCTTCTGTGTGCACATGAACAATAACTGAGCTGATACAGTAAATGTGGGCTCACGTGTTTTTTCTGCATTTGTTAATCATTTACACGTAGTGTTTGCTTTTGAGTCTTTTTATTCACATGACAGCTATAGTACTCTGTGGCTGTGTGTTTTCTGCACTTGTGAATTTGCATCTGGCCAATAAAGACTTCCACAAACAGGGTGGAAACTGCTCTCACTGTTTGACAGCTGACTGTAGAAAGACATAAAAAAAGTGATGCAAAATAGACAAAAGTGATAATGTCAGAGGAAAGCATTAGCAGGGGAAACATGGAAGGTGCACAAATATATACACTGTCCTAAGTCAGTTTAATTGTGGTGTGCATGAGTAAATGTTAGTACATTCGTTTATAAATTAGTTTAGTTTTACTGTATATAAACCTGGGTTTTGTAGTCTTTAAAATGTGTTGAAGTGTGTGTGTGTGTGTGTGTGTGTGTGTGTGTGCGCGCGCGAGCGCACTTGCACGCCTGTGTGTACATGACCATGAGAGGCGAGCCTGTGGTTAGGTTACATCTCCCTGCTGCGCAGCAGAGCAGTGTCTTGTTGCGTCATACTGAGTCTGTTAATAACAGGCTAAACCACAAAGGCCATCCGCTGCTCTATTTCTCATCTTCCAACTTCACACTGATTATGCAGCAGTGATACATTAAGCGGGGGCTTCTTGTCTAATACAGTATATCAAAATATTGCACACCCAGTTGTGTATAGACAGCGGTTTTAGTCAAAAACATTGTTTTTTTTCCCCCATTAGTTTTAGACAGTTATTTTGTAAGGATGCTCAATATAAAGGCAATACATAACATAAATTCTAGATCTAGGGCAGAGACGTGGCTGAGTTAAGCTACTGTGCATAATAATGCTGTGTCTATTCAGACATCCCTCCCTTGCACTCACAGCATGCAACATCCTTGCCACAGGAATTTAATTGCTCTGTAAACAAGCCCTTTGTTTTGTTGCACATTGTTCACTCATGCACAAAAGACGTATTAAAATCTTTCCTTCTGCTGCAAAAAGAGATGAATGCCATGTTAGAGCGCAACAATTCACTGATGTAAAATGTGCTTGCAAAAGGAAAATCTACCTTAAACTGGTATGTTGCTGCACATGTGATCTTTCTGTGAATACTTTTTTATGTAAACAGGAAACAAAGTTGCAATAGTTTTCTGATTACAGTATGATTATCTCATTTGTCTGCTGCTATTCAAACCTGTCAAGTGATTGTAGTCAGTTTGTAATAACTAGTATGATTCTCCTTTCTGTTGTCTCCAGACGTACGAGCGTCAGTTCAGAATGCCGGAGCAGAGAGAAGGAGGCCTTCTACAGCTTCTGGGAGATCACACTCTGCCCAAACACCAGCTTCGTAGCTCCCTTCCTTCTGCACATTCTCTCTCGAACACACAGCCAACGCAGCATAGCCTCACACAGAAATTCCAACACGTAAATACACAACAACACCAAATCAGTCCAGAGTGGATTTCGTCTACGGCACCTTTTTCGTCCCCGGTTCATTCAGCAGACTCTGAGCCAGCCGGAGATTTGCCCGGAGCAGGTAGAAGTTCTGTGCTTGATCCAGCGCAACTCTATTCACGAACAGCTACACCAAGTCCCTCACCTCAGAGATCCATGACCCCAGACTTACAGTTGCCAGTGGTTACGGATGCCAGCATTCTCAACCTCACCTCTCTGAGCAGGTAGAGTTGTACTTTTTGTTGGATAAAACAAAAATAAGAGTGGTCTGTATTGATGCTGAGTTGTATTGGTATAAAACATTCTTCTTTTATTCTAACTACATTGTCTATTTATGTTTTTCTCCAGGGATAAAGGTTTGCAAGAAGTCAGTGAGCAGCTCTTTGGAAACATCAAGAGGAAGTATGGCAGGAAGGAATCTCAGAAAGTGCTCTGTAATCCCCATGGTGCTGATACACATTGGGGAAAGCAGCCAGAAGGAGGATCAGAGAGCCCAGGTAATTCAGAAGAGAGGCAGAAGTACAGGCAAGAAGACATAGCTGAGCAGCTCCGCGATGACAGAGAAGAACGGCGAAAAGAAGAAAGAGCGCAAACAAATGCTGGAAGGAGAGGAGATGAAGAGGAGAGAGAAATGCTCATTCTGGCAGAGGATGGAAAAGGAAGGAAGAAGCGGAGGAGACCTTTGTTTGATGAATCCTTTCCTTTGGAGGAGCAAATGCAGCTTCAGACTCTGGATGCTTCTGAGAAACTCCTCGGTGGACCCCCAGAACCCAAATTAGCACACAAGACAGAGACTCACAAAAATGATACCCGTCTTAAAAGTCAGGCTGATGTTAGTACAGAACGGATTGAAAAAGTGGAAAAGGGAGATAAGAGTGATAAGAGGGATAAAGGAGAGTGGGCAGACAAAGCAGAAAGAGGAGAGGCAGTTCCAAGTGGGCCTGACCAGGAGTCAGATCAGACTGCTAACAGGGTGAAAAAGACTTCTGTGGGTCGCCCGAAGAGTGGCACAGATATCCTCAAACTCAGAGAGCCTATATACAATCACATCAACAAATCTAATCTTAACACAATCTCTAGGGGCAGCATCAGTCCGGTCCCCAGTCCAAAACCCAGGGCCAACCATAGCCAAAGCCCAAGCCCTAGATGCAGAACTGACCTGAGTCCAAGCCCCAGCAACAGCAGTAGTTCTGTAGTCTATTCCAAACCGATCAAACTCAATGACAGATGGTCCTACCTGAAAACTAAAACCCATACCAGTCTTACATCACCTCAGAGGGACAATCTGTGTAGCCCCTCAACATTAGCAGATCCACCCTCTGCTTACCCAATCACCCCTTCAAGTCCACTCTACACCAACATTGACAGCCTAACTGTCCACGCTTCTATTAAGAGGAAACGAGGACGCCCAAAGAAACAGCCACTCCTAACAGTTGAGACCATTCATGAGGGCACCTCCACCTCACCTCCAAGCCCACTCACAAAGGACACTTCTGCAGGACTAAACCGCAGGAGAAAGACACATGCTCTAACAACATTAGTGCAGATGGCCACCATAACGTCTAATGACAGTTCTAACAGTTTGAAAGTAAAGCGTGGCAGAGGCCATCCCAGGTCACTGAATAAGACAAAGCTTGGGAAAATGCAGAGCATCTTGAATGAAATCCTTTCAGGGTCCAGTCAGAATGGCTCTCTGGCTCTGAAGTCACCCTCAGCTCCTGTCACCTCAGCCATGAGTGCCATGGCGACCACCATTGAGGCACGGCTGGGAAAACAGATCAATGTTAGCAAGAGAGGTACTATATACATTGGAAAGAAGAGGGGGCGGAAGCCCAGAGCAGAAACACAAAGCTCCATCCTTCTCAAAACTGCTAGGGACAAGACACCAATGTCTATATCCTTGTCCAGTCTTTATGATAGTCCTGCAGTGCCTTCAACCACCTCATCTCCCACTTCAAGTGCTCAATGTCTAAGAGCCAACATTGATGCCACAATGCCCAGTTTGCAGCCCATCTCAGCCCTACCTTTAAAACCACCAAGCAGGAGCTTTCTCTCAGGGGGTTGGAAACTTTCTCCTCCTCGCCTTCTGGCTAATTCCCCCTCTCACCTATCAGAGGGGGCATCAGTGAAAGAGGTGACCCTGTCCCCCATCAGTGAGTCCCACAGTGAGGAGACAATTCCCAGTGACAGTGGGATTGGGACAGACAACAACAGCATGTCAGATCAAACTGAGAAGGGTCCTGCTTCTCGCCGCAGGTACAGTACACTAGCTTTACTGCCTTGAACCTTTACTTTTTTATCTACTAGACTGATAAATACCCATAAATGTGGAAGTTTAATGTCATTATTGCTGTGTTCATGCAGGTATTCATTTGACTTGTGTGGGTTTGAATCTCCGGAGGCGGCAGCTCTGGATGCATCCAGCAGAAACAGCAGAACACGCTGTGAACGGCAAGTTACTGCTGTGGATAACTACCTGTCACAGCAGGAAAAGAAGCAGAAGCATCATCGAAGAAAGAGGAAGTGCTTACAGAGCCAAGATCACCTTCACTTTTTATCTGAACTGGAAGAGGTGAGATAAAACATAATAAATTATACCTTTATTTTGTGATTGGCCATTGTAATGTATAGACACTAATGGTTTTTTCTTCTTCTTTGCTTTTAAATTTCTTTTAGGTTGTGGTAAAACTCCAGCAATTACGAGTGTCTCACAGACAATACACCTGCTACCCCCAGCATCCGTATCCTTCCATTTTCCGACTCAACTTTCATCATTATTACCCGATTAGCTATGACACTTACTCCTGTGATGCGAGCTCTTACCTACGCCGGAGTGCCGATCTGAAGGCTAAAAGAAGACGTGGCCGGCCAGCCAAAGCCAGCGAGCCAGTCACATCAAAACTGCCATTTGTTCAAGGATACGGTTTTCCGCTGGGAGGGGGAAATTACTATGCAGCACCATACGCATTGCCTTACGCTCCTCCTCTGAATCTGGGCTACTTCCCCCCAACTCCCCCATTTTACCTGCCCCACCACTCACTTGGACCTGCACCTCCATCTCCTTTTATGAGGCCTGCTGTCCCTCCTCCTCCCAAGGCTTTCCACTCCAGTGGACTCTCAAAACTGCAGGCGGGGGCTAAGATTCGCAACACTAGTGGTCCCCTCCAGAGGCCTACTGTAAGAGGAGAGGGGCTAGGATCCCTGAGCACTGGTGGTGCAGGTGGGCTTGCAGGGGTCCGTCTTCATAAGAGAAAGCACAAGCATAAACATAAGCACAAAGACGAACCCCTTCTTTCTCCACGAGACCGGCAGGCGTTAGGTGGACTTTTCAGTGGAGCTAAGACCAACGTCCGTTTTGGCATGCTTAGCGACAGGAGAGATTTGGGCAGTCAGGGTTCTTCAAGGCATTTGGAGAAGCAGAAGAGCAATGCTAGAAGCGCTAACCTGGGATCCAGTCTGGGGATTTTCCAGTCGGACCAACTGTCTACACACTCTCTAGCTGAGAGTCAGTTTCACTCCCATCAAGCTGCACAGCCTGTAAAGAGCTTCATGAGCAGCTACAGCAGCCAGTCACAGCGACCGGAGTCGACCTCTGACCTCTTTTCTGGGTTACAAGATGACGAGTGTGTTGAGAGGAGCAGAAGGACAAAGCTCACTGTCTTTGGAGATCAGAGCTTAATGTCATTTCAAACGGCCAGGCAGGAACCAGAGCAGATTCAAAAGTGTTCCAGTTCCTCGCTCACTGGTAAGAAACTTTTAGAAGTGTTTTTTTTTTGTTTGTTTTTGTTTACTAACAACAGGAACAGGCTCTCTGCCATGATTCTGAAACTGTTTATTGGTTTTGGTTTTTGACAGTTACTGTATTTGTACTGCTTACTTTGTGGAGCCAGCTATCATTTTACATTTTGCTGGCACTTTGCATTAAGTACAACCAAGTTCATTTGAAAAGTTTCTGATATGAGGCATAATCATGTGTGCTAATAATAGTGACCTTCTTTGCAAAAAGCCATTAAAGAAAAAACTACAAGCAAATTTAGCATCCTAATCAAAGATGAAACACTAAAACTTTTGTAAAATTGCGTCACATTTATCCAATGAGTTCACAATATGAATATAGATCTCATTTCCTGCAGTACGTCCAAGTTCATTGATGAGAGGGAACATTGCATGCAAAGATCAACAATGAACAATTTACTGTGTTGCATCTAATAGGTTCAAAAATTGATCTGTGTTTACAGTGATGCACACAAATAAAATAAAAACAGCTGTATATTATCTCAACCCTTCAAGGTTATGTAGGGTTATTAATATGCAGATTGAGGGAAGGCTTTCCCTGAGTGTTAATGAGTGACTATTCTCCACCGGTTGTGTAGTTTTAGGCTGCGTTAATAGGGATTTTCTTTTTTTAATGAAGACGTGTAGAACCTGTAAAGGAAATTCCTATTTACAAATATGCTATGCGCAGCATTATCAGGACCAAGAGCATACAAAGAGGTAGTTAAGTCCACATTCTCAGCACCAGAGTAACGTGCAATTTGTTACATTCTGTATTCTGCTGTCTTTGAGCACATCTGGCTAGGGATAAAGAGAACGTAATGCATGGATGGAGACAACTATAATTCACCAATCTCTCCGTCCTCCCCCCACCTCACTCCCCCCCCTTCTCTCCTGCCAATGCCTTCGCCAGAGATATATTATTCACACACTGTGATTTATTTTTTACAGACATGCCGTAAAAGGCTCTTGCCTGTGTTAAAAGAGCTGGCTGGCAGCCAGGGGTTTAATGACTGGGGCCTCGTCCAGTGGTGGGGAGGAGAAGCCAGGGGCTCGGTTAGAATACCTCCCCCCCCCCACACACCCCAGGGGATCGAGGACGAATGACTCATATACACAGACCCTCACCCCACCTTATCCATATTATCATTATTGAACCTTTTCTAGTCTGTGCGTTCTTACCTTTACATTTTTCTTTCTGCAGTTCCTGCTCTTTCTTTCCCTCTTTACTTTAGTTAGTTCTCACATACACACAGAGGTTTTTCCCCTCATTCCTCTTCCTCTCTTTTTTTCTTACCTCTTGCTTTTCTGTTTTTCCCCCTTGTCTCCCCACCCCCTCGGTCCAAGATTACCTTCTCTACTCCCCATTTCCCCTGCCCCTATTCTAGCATGACTTACTGCTTCGCTTCACAGCTTTAGTCCAATTAAAACACAGCGCGTGTGTGAAGGTTACCGTGCACACTTCCACATGCAGAAATACACTTGCATAGATTTAAAAAAAAAAATCCACCCATAACATGGCACGGATGTAAAATTCTGATTATTTAATCCTGCAGTAATTGTTTTACATTTTATGCATGTGTGTTGTGTGCTTGTTTCTTCACGTGTCATGTCTCACAACACTTTCTCTCATGGATATTTTATTCAGAAGCATGCTTTGATTTAGTAAATGGCTTATTTTAATAGTTTATTTTTGTCAAGTTCAGTTTTATTTTGCTGCACAATGTTAAAATTTTAAAGAGAATACAGCACAATGGGGGAAACATAAAAGTGAGACAAATAAAGCCTTCTATGTAACTTTTTAAAAACAAATAGGAGAAAATTAACAAGAACTCAGTTTCAGACAAAAAATCATGTGCACATGGAATAGAGAGCAGAAAGTGTGGAAATCTGTTGGAGGATAAAGATCTATATGTGAAACATTAGGAATGAGGCGAGGAAGACAGGTCCAGCACATTGGACAAGTCACATGACTTCCAACAGCACAAGCAAACCCTCAAGTTAAGCACCTAAAAAATGATTTATCATAATTCTGTCAGGCACCATGTCCCAGTAGTGACACAGAGCCTGGATTTGGGCATGTTCCTCCGTACAAATGAAACTTTCTGAAACAGGTTCTCAGTGCTGGACAGCCTCTCTCTGCTGAAGGTCACCAGTTTTATGTTCCATGTATGGAGCTCATAAATTCTGCTACTTTGGTGTGTGTGTGTGCGCGTGCACATCTCATAAACTACCACTACTTTCTGCACTAACTAATTTCACTGCCTGATCTGAATTCTTGAGCGACAAAGAGGATGTGCTCTTAGGTTTATGGTATAAAACAGACAGAAGCTCACTTCTGTGTCATGTCACAGTTTAAAACTGTGTCTTCTCCTTGTGTCTAAGATGAGAAGTAGAAATGACAAATTAAAAAAAAGTTGAAAATAGAAATCACCTAATTGCTTAATCATTAGTGATGAAATGATCGGGTTTTTATTTATTTATTTATTTATTTATTTCAGTTTTAGGCTAATTGGACCATTTGTATATCTGCAACATCACTTTGCATAAAACTAAATTTGTGTTGGGAAATTCTTGTAAATCTTTGCAAAAAAAAAAAAAAAACTCTCCAAACTTATTTTACTTACATTATTTAACCAGGAAAACCCCACTGAGATCACAGATCTTTTTTGCGAGGGAAGCCTGAAGGCAGCCTAACATGCATGTTTTTGGACTTTGGGAGAAAACCGGAGTACCTGGACAAAAACCCACGCAAACACAAGGAGAACAAACTCCACACTGAAAGACCCCAGGTCCAAACTGTGGATTGAACCCAGGACCTTCTTGCTGTGAAGCAACAGTGCTCACCACTGAGCCATCGTGCTGCCTACATAAGAAAAAAAGGAAGTTTATTGAACGTTTAACACTAGTTTGTATTTGTTAAAGTAAAGGATAGAATCACTGATTGCAGCTTTATTGAAAGCTAGAGTTGCAGTCCTCTTAAAATGCATCTGTGGACATTGTCCTGCTTGAAAAGATTTGTTTTAAATGAACCTCAAGTGCCTCAGACCTGACTCGGAGGTTATCAATACACACCAGAGTTCAGCTCAGACAAAGTGAAGTACACCACATGACAACAGCGTTTGAAGAAGCTGTCCAGAAACGCTGACACGTGGTTCAGATCTAGTCCATCATATTTGTTCATTCCCTATCCAACACCAAAGCAGTGAAAATGTAGTCCTTATTATGATTGGCAGCATGTGATGATATGCATGAGTGCAAAAGCTGCTAGGATAACTGTGGGTATACACTTTAGGAAGAAAAAATAAGACACAGTTAAGGAGTCCAAGCACAAAAATAAAAGCTCAGAAGAAAGAGACCAAACACGTTCCATGTTTGGGGACCAGCGGCTGATTGTGCTTTTCCTCCATTTTGGCTGTTGCTCACTCTGAGCCCTGGGAACAGTGCCCAGACAGGGTGGAGAGGGAGGGCAGTGAGTGGATGTGGTTTGGGGTGGGGGGGTTGTGTTAAGAAATGGGACAAAGATGGGAAACAAAACGAAAGACTGAAACACGCCAAGATCAGGAAGCGGTTTCTGAAATGCAGGCGGAAATGAAATGGTGCAGTGTTACCGGTTTAATTGAAAATGAGAGCGCAGCATATTGCCGCCCATGAGGAATGGAGAGAAGAAGAGAATGAGATTGATGGGAGGGGAGGGGGGCGGGAGAGAAAAGATAGAACAGCATGCAAAGGGCAAACTGCCCAGTTCATCAGTGTGAAGGAAACAATATGGCTCGAGTTTCTTCTGCTCAGCCATTCTGAACTGCTGAATTCATTATTTCTGCATGTTGTGCCCGTGTGAGTATGCACATGTGTGTTTTTGTATTGATGTCTATGTGGGTCTGTGGAAAAGAAGTTGGATGTGTGTTTGTTCTGGTGTGTGTGTGTGTGTTTGGCTTTTTGGCAGCCTGTGCTCCAGATGCACAGGGTTGTTATTGTGTGGAGCCATATTAAATGGTTGAAGGAGACATTTCTTTGGGTTTCCTGCAAACAGAATTGGATCTTCTCCTCTCTCTGCTCTCTAATAGACAATTACAGGATAGGATCTGCTCTCCTGGCTCAGCTGAGCTTTGAAAAGCTTATATGAATATCTCAAAATTAACAGGAAGCTCTTGAAGCAAAAAAAACATTCTGTCCATGAGCTAAATATACAATTTCTCGTCTACCTTTTCTGCTCTCATTAAAGCTCCTGTTACTTTAAAGGCAGTGTTTTCCTGTTTGTTTACCTCTTGACTCTTCATCTCACTTACTCTGTTCTCCTCTCCCAGGTGCTACCAGTAAGCGGAGGTATAAACGCCGCGAGGTGGAACAAATCCAGAAGGACGTCAGGAGGATGCATTCTTTGAACTTTGATCACGTGCAGAAGATCCTTCATGCCAAGCGTCTACAGCGACAAGCCAAAACAGGAAATAACGTCATCAAACGGCGGCCTGGACGGCCCCGAAAACAACCTGTAGAGGAGTCAAAGCCGGCCAATGTTAGGGAAGAAAACTGGGCTGATGGTCGAGGTTTGGACACGATGGCCAACTGGAGGAGTGACGGGAGGACTTTGGGGATGCCCATCCTGGAGAGGTGTGATAACCTGTCAGCAATCCAGAGCCTCAGGCCGAGCTTAACCCTTGAGACTCAGGAGCACTCCGGTCATGATTCCATCTCAGCAGCTATTGAGAACGTGGTGCATCAGGCACGATCTGTACCACCACTGGCTAAAGAGGCCAAACGCAGAAGCAGGGGTCACAGCAGGGACGAACTATGGTCTCCCACCAGCCAATAACACTGAACAGAAAGCAGTTAACAGAGTCAGTGCTGACTCAAGCCTATCGGATGCCGTTCCCTTCAGTTTGGGACTATTGATGCACTTTGACTGCTTTCTCCTCTCTGATGGCAAGGATCACCGTGGACAGAGTGGTAGTACTGGGGAGCAGGAAAAAGACCCCCCCAACCAGAACCCAACAAGACATGGGCCTTTCAAAGATGTATTGGACCTTCATTTACAATGGCACTATATGGTACAATTTGATACCGAATTTGATGCTATAAAAGTGTGTGGTACTTATGATAGTGTAGGATTTTATGTGATTCTTTATGTATCTGATACAGTGATGTGTATGGTACTTTATGATACAGTATCTGAATGTGGCATTGGCCATATATTTACCAGCAAGGAGAGGGGTGAATGGTTATATAAACTGTGCAGCTCTGTTTATTTTTTGCCTTTCTGAGGTTGTTTGTCAAAGACATGTGGGATAATACATCAGTAAATAAGCCACCTGTGTTTTTCCAGTACCTTTCAAATTCTCTTGGAAGTAACTTATACTTCCCGGCAGCTCCTCCTTTCTGCTTGACATTGTCCCCAGTTTTTGTTAGCACTCCTAGATGTCTGCTGCTGTGCTTAATTGTCCCTTTTTGCCCTTACTGATGTTTGCATCTTCAGTCCTTGAGCTTCCTTGATTTACCCCGGAAGTTGTGTATTTCTCCCTAACCTGCTCAGGCCTCACCTGGGCAGCAAATAAAGGCAATATGGTGGGTGAGGACATTGTTCCAGACTGTACATAGACATAAAGTCCAGTGTTACCTGCCTTGTAGAATGGGAAACCAGCTCATAGATGTGTACCGGCATACAGTATATTAAATAGAATTGTTGTATCATAGACAATGAAAGTGTGTATTGATTTATAACCAAAAAAAACAGACATGGGTGTGACTCGAGACAAGTTTGTTTTCAGACAGAAGAGAAAAGAGAAACACATATATTCATTCATACATTCATCATTGTGTTTATATTGGGGGGCATTGCATAAAAGAGAAATGTTTGGGTGTATTTTTGGTAAAGTTTGTTAAATGCACTATTTTAAAAAAACATTCACTTGCATCAATCAAATGCAGCACTTAAAAGCTTGTTCTAGCCTTATATTTTTTGGTGTTCGCTGGTTTGGATGTCCACTCCGGAGAGCATGCATTATTTTAATCAATTCTTATATGCAGGCTGTGCAGCCATTAAAAACCCAAGCCTGAGTCTGAATCCCGATTGGACGGTTCAGCAAAAGAGGGCTCACTTTCGGTGTTTTGAGAAAAAGAAGGAAAAAAAAGTTAATCCCTGTCTTTCTACTTAATGTGCTTTTAAATTCTTCTCCCTGGAAATATTTTTGGAAGTGAACCCAGTATTTAGATTTAGAAACCAAAGTCTCAGTATTGGTCGTGAGGAAGTAAAAGTATGTAGGATCTGAGTTTGACAAACTCTCCATGATGTTCTCAACAATGTAAAGCATTCCTATGTGCACTGTAGAATGTAGCCATTTACATTTTTTGCATCATGAAGTCAAGCCTTTGTTAAACTCTTTACAGCCCAGTTGGATAGTTATAATTTACCCAGACAAGTATTTCAGAGTATAAACAATGAATCAGTGTTTCTTTTGGCAACTTTTTTTGTTTCAAGCTATTTTCTTTCTATGGGGGTGGCATTCTCAGTTGCAGCAGCTCAACTTGTGCCTTATGTTTCTTTCTATCATTGATTTCATTTGACTCAAGGAACGGAAAGCGGCAAAGAGTGTCCCAGAGAGCGACTCAAAATCTTCATGATTGTGCATAATGTGTCTTAGTCATCGGATCCCTGACGCTGCCTGTGTCCCTTCACAGCTTCCATCATCAGCAGCCTCTGAGTCCACCTGTCCCCCAGCTTCCTCTTTGTTTTCTGACCCATATCCTCGTGCCAGAGATAGCGAGGCTGGACTTACAGTATTAAAGTCACATCATGTCCTGACCTAGTTACTGCTGTGCAGCAGCAGCAGAAACACAAAAACCCACTGTGTCAGACGTGTTTCTGTCAGGAGATAATGATGGTCTTATGTATAATTGAACACCACTTACTTTCTCCTGAGATTTAACAGGTTATTTACAACACATAACTGGTTAAACATCTGGCAAAGGAAAAAACAGGCAGTTGTCATGAAAACACATTGTTTGCTATGCATCAGGCCGTATCTGGCAGTGACCTTAAAATGAAAATAGGTGTTCTGGGTCCACCCTTTGACAAAGAGAAACAAGTGGTCTTATTAACTAAATAAAATAAATCCATGTCACAAGGTTTATGAATACTACCAGTAATAATTTGTGTAGAAAGAGACTATCATTTCAAGAAAACTATACTATAGTTACTGCAGCTCTATGCAGTACAGCCTTAAACAGATGTAAAATTACAGTATTGACGTGTTCGTTGTAAATAGTGTCACTATGTACGTCCTGCAAGAAAACTTAAGCCCAGCTATTCTGATAGTCTCCTACACCCTTCTCCAGCAAGACTGAAGCAAAACGCCCAAAAGTTACTAAAATTATGTGATTTTATTTTTGATAAATTCTGCAGTCGTTCCATCTCAATAAATTGCAAAGAAAGATTAAAAACCTATAGAAGTCTGCCTTACCACAGTTTGGAAGTTCTTACAGCCCCATTGTTTACTCGACCAAAAATATCCCAGTTGACTTTTAGCTACTTTGCCTGCAGCCAGTTGGTGTAGCTTCGTAGTGTGAGGAGCGAGCAGGGGGGTGGTATATAAGGTATGGTGGGGGGGAGCCCTCAGAGGAAACAGCCAAAAATACTCTTGACCTAATGTCACAGCACGCTTAACCTTGCTTTGCTGGATGACTTTCGGTGGGTCTGCAGTCTGTTTGTGGTGGATTATATCTTTTCATGTGGGCCTGCTTTACTCCTGTGGTCAGGTAGTGGTCTCTGACGCTGGAGTTCAACGGCCCCCGGGTAAAACGTCTGTCCTGTCTGTCTCTCTCCTACCAGCTGATGCTCCGGTGCCTTCTAACACTGACAAGTATTGTCCAAACTCTGAACTTTCACACTGCACAGAGACTGCAGAAGGGATGTAGTTGAGAAAAGGGTCACTGATGTAAGCAGCCAGTCTGGACCAGTGGGTACCACGGAACCCTGATGTAAGCGTCCTATAGCTTGTCTTTGGTCCTGCCACTGAAAGCACTGCAGCAGTGTTTGAGCTTACATTAGTGTTAGTCATGTATTTACTGTCTGAACCGTTTCAATAAAGCAGCTTGAATAAAAGATCGCGCCAAGAAAACCTTTGATCACCCCCTTCGTTCCCAATGTAGCATGCAGTGATGAGTGTCCCACACATGGAGTGGAGGTCACGTGAAGCAGAAACTAAATAAATGTACCGTACATTCTTGTCCTCACCACATTTGCTTCCCCATTCTGAGCTATAATGTTTTGTAAAAACAGAAAAGTGCAGATGAAGCATTGAGAAAACCAATAAGCGTACTTCTGTAGAGCACAAAGTGAGCTCTTCTAACCGCGTGGGCATATTTTAATTTGTATACATAGTGTATTTGAAACTTTTTTCTAGAGTGGGTTTTCTTTATTTGCATGCTAAATTTGATTGTATGCATAAATATTTTAGACAAGTTGGATTTCAATTGACCTTGAAGCAAGACTTGTACATTGTTTGATATGTTTCTTTTTGTAATGGATTTTTTAATTCATGAGGCATTTTTGTACATTGTATGAATATTAAAAACTGCAAATATTTGACATATAGAGTAAATACTAGATGCGCATGCATATGCATATATCCCTCACGGTATATATGTGTAAACCTAACCATATATTTTGTATTTGGATTCGCCAGCATACAGATATATGTCTTAAGCACATATATACATGTAATATATGTATATCCATGTCTGCTGGCATGCTTTTGGTCATGTTTTACTTTTCATGAAATTGTAGGTTCATTCAAAAAAATCTTCTTTTCCTCAAAAAGAAATGCTCATTCTTTGCTACCCTTCTGTTGGCTGGCAGCGTTGAGCACTTATTAAGAAGAACTACAGTTGAAGTTGTTCATGTTATCCATTGTGTGAAATAATAAATGACTTTATTGACAGCTGACATTGGCGTGTGCTTTGTTCTTTCTGGTAAAAATGAAATTATTCTGATTCCCTTGACATTCGCTTGATCGCATGCTGAGATATGCCTGTGTGTGAACATGTGTGTGTGTATGATGGAGCACGATGACAATCGGGGGGAGTATGCGCCTCTGATGGTACTATCATCTAAGTGAATGACTACTTTTTACTGATGTGGTTAAATGAGTGGGAATCCTTTGAGCAGATGATACTGCAGCATCATAATGTCACACCTGCACTCTTACTCTCCAGCTTCTTCATTTGCCACCTCCAAATCGGTCCTGCAGTGCTCCATCAGTATCACTTCTAGGTGGGCTGGGCTGCAGGCTGTTCTGTTATTGGACAGAGGTGAGTGGAAAGTGTCCCACCATTGGCTGCTGCCAACTAGTAAAATTCTTCTGTTGCCATGGTTGCAGGGTGAGCTGCCCAAATGTGTCTCGGTGTATCTAGTGGAGCTGATGGAACTGTTGGCACCACTTGGTGTTGTGCTGCAAAAAAAATAAAAAATCCCCCTCTTCTCCTCCTCCTTCTCCTCTGATGGAAGGAGCAGTGAGCCTGCTGCACCCAAATCACTCTGTACTGATGACTGCAAACGAGCCCACATGGCTCCCCTCTGCACACGAGAGAGGATGAGATGGATGAAGGTGAAGCAGCTCTGCAAAACATCCTGCATGATGGATGGTACTCTTCAGTCTGGTGGAAAACAAATTAAACTAAATTATCCAGTTGATGTTCAAAAGGTAGTTTTTTTTTTCTCCCCTCCCACCATGTATAGTACCAAATGCAGTTTCATCTCAGTCATTTGCTGTTCCTTATGACAGCCGAAGATGATATAAAACTATAATATCGGAGGAGTCAGGGTGAAACTGAAAGGTTGAGAGACGAAATGACTCAAAAGGATATTTCATAGAACCAACATGTTTCTCATGTGATGTCAATAAAGCACATGTACAGCATCCATACCAGTGTTTCACAAACTTTTCAGCTTTTGACCCAGAGAATGAGCTTGAGACCCTAACCCCATCATAAAATAAGAGCGTAATGACAGAACAGCCTGGATTATCATCATTTGTTTATTAATAAGGCTATGCATACTGTTTGTATCTTTTATTAGATTTATGTCATAAATTTCGCAATACCCAAATAAATGCCATACGATTTCTTGCATTGTGACTGGGCACCATGTTTTTTGTTCCAGTAGTTCACATAGTGTGCCATCAGCAATATATTTTACTTTATTCTTTTTATGGAAAATATCTTTGACCCCTCCATTTGGTGTTTCATGACTCATACTGGGGTCTCGACCCCATGGCTATGAACCATTACTCCATTCAACAAGGACCCCACATCTCCCATCCCTAGTATTACAACTAATGCATCGCCCATCCATCCCTGTGTAAAAACTATGAATCTTC